GGACCCATCATCTCCGATATCACTGAGCTGGGCCCCAGCAGCCCAGGGCTTCCCCGGGCGCCAACAGAGATGAGAGGTGGGGCCATCTTCCCCAAAGCCCGGAGGAGGGAGGGGCTGCCAGAGGCCCTGCTGAGGTGTGTCTCCCTTGTGCAGGTCTCTGTCCGGCAGCTCCCTGGTTCGAGTCAAGGAGGAGCCCCCTAGCCCACCTCAGAGCCCCCGGGCAGAGGATGCCAGTCCTGGGCACCCATCCTCCGTTGCGGACACCCCGCTGTCCCCGACCGCCCTCATTGACTCCATCCTGCGGGAGAGTGAGCCCGCCCCTCCTGCCTCGGCCACTCCCCTCCCGGATGAAGGGGGCCGCCCCCCCTCTCCCCTGCCCGCCTCAGCCCCCGAGAAGTGCCTCAGCGTAGCCTGCCTGGACAAGTGAGTGCCATCCACTCGCCCACAAGTCTCTGGACGCGCAGCTGGGCTTCTGACGCCTGCCCTGGAGGGCTGGACACACGGTGGCCCTGAGCTCTGTGCTTGGAGCTGGGGAGGGAAACAGATGCCGACCATGTGGCCCCATAGTCCCTCTGCCGCAGGCGCCCAGGCTGTGTGGCCAGGCCTATCGCACCTGCTCTCTGGGCTGCCGTCTGCCGTGATGGGCTGCTGGGTCCTGATGTCGCTCCTGCTGCCCCAGAGGTGGACGAGCGAGGGTGGGGGCACGGAGTCTGCCTGGCCCCCACCTGCAATCGGGGGGCTCTTGTCTTTGTATCTTGCAGTTTGGCTCGCGCTCCACTGATGTCTGGGGTCGCCCGCCTCTTCCCCTGCCCCTCTTCCTCTCTGCATGGCCGAGTCCAGCCAGGGTTAGCGCCGTCCCACTGGGGAGGGAGGAGGGCTCCGCCAGAGCTCGGGCCCCTCCCCAGCCGCGGACCAGACCCCAGCCTGGCCATGAGCACTGAGCCCTGCCTGGTGAATGGGTATCCCAAGGCCTCTGCAGAAGGGACTGGCCTCCCCCGGGTCTAGGGCCCAAGCCAGTGCCCCAAGTCACTGACTGACAGAGAAGGCCAGCCCAGCTCTTGTGCTGACTGGCTCCCTCCCCGGGTGAGACCGGGCCTTCTCTGTCACAGCCCCAGACCCAGCCTCTTCCCTGGCAAGCACCAAGGGAGAGGCTGGCCGACCACACGCTGAGTACACTCTCCGTGTCCTGCTCTCTCCCGATGGAAAGGCAAGCCCTCGTCAAGCCTGGAACACTGGGCCCCCAGCCCAGTCTGAGCATTAAACCCCTCCTTGCCCCCCCCCGCCACCTTGGCCCAGCCTAATACGCTGTTAGAGGCCTTACAGGGCCTCACGGTGACAGGACGGGCCCACATGGCCTTAGCCACTCCCCCCAGTGGCCAAGTGACTGGCTGTCTGTGGACACTGCCCCACTGGGCCCTGCTGCAAGTGCAAAGGGGCCCCATCTTGGAGGGCCCCCCATGAGCCCGAGAGGGTGGGCTGTGGCCGAGGGGAGCCCTTCTCTGGCAGGTGGGTGTGAGCGTCGACAAGAAGGTGTCCGGGTAGGGGTGCCTGGGGTGCCCCTTCACCTACCTCACTCACCCTGGCCAGGACGGAGCTCAGTGACCACTTGGACGCCATGGACTCCAACCTGGACAACCTGCAGACCATGCTGACCAGCCACGGCTTCAGCGTGGACACGAGTGCCCTGCTGGACGTGAGTCCCGCCCCTGCCTGCACCTGCACCAACCCTCCCCTGCTCACGGTGCCAGCTGACTGCCCTCCTTTCCCTGCAGCTGTTCAGCCCCTCAGTGACCGTGCCGGACATGAGCCTGCCCGACCTTGACAGCAGCCTGGCCAGTGTGAGTACGCAGAGCAGGCGGGCTGGGGGGTGGGGGCTAGCAGGAAACCTCACTGTGCTCCCTCCTGCCCTGGCAGATCCAGGAGCTCCTCTCTCCCCAGGAGCCCCCCAGGCCTCTTGAGGCAGAGAACAGCAGCCCTGACTCAGGTGAGCCCTGACTCATGTGAGCTGAGTCCACCCACCCACCCTGTCCTCGTCCCCACCCACCAGACCCTGACCCGGTCCCTCCCTACAGGGAAGCAGCTGGTGCACTACACGGCTCAGCCCCTGCTCCTGGTGGACCCAGGCTCCGTGGACGTGGGGAGCAGCGACCTGCCGGTGCTCTTCGAGCTGGGGGAGGGCTCCTACTTCTCCGAGGGGGACGACTACGCAGATGACCCCACCATCTCCCTGCTGACAGGCTCTGAGCCCCCCAAAGCCAAGGACCCCACTGTCTCCTAGAGGCCCCAGGAAGGGGGCGGCCTGTGCCGTCCCCTACCCCTCCTGGTGCAGGGCTGGTCTCAGGGGAGCCACGAACCTGGGGCAGGGCGGGGCGTGGCCCCAGTCAGCACCAAGGACCCAGGTCCTGTGTGCCGTGGCTTGCTTGGGGCTTCACAGCCACATTTGGACTGACCAGTACACAGGTGTTCACAGAATTGTATTTTGGATTTTTACATGAGAGTTCCCCTTTCCCCTTAGGTAGAGACATAGATACATACACGGACGGACGCACGGACGGATGGACGAGACAGGCAGAGATCTATAAATGACAGGCTCTGTGTGCGGCCTCCCCGTCTGTTTCCTCCTGCCGCGGTGCCGGGTCGGGTTAGGCCCAGGAGGGGCCCGGGGTCTCAGAAGGGGCTAGAGGTCTGGGCTGCAGCCTCCCTGGAGAAGGGCAGCTGCACACGGTGTCCCTGGGCCCAGCTGGCTCCACCGGACCGTGTGTGCTCAGAATTGTTGGTTAAAGGACCGGGAGGGGTCACAGAACCCGTTACCAGGGCTTCCACACGAGGGGACCGGGTGAGACACAAATGGCTGTGCCACGCATGCCTGTCCAGCAGAGCCATCTGGCTCTGGGCTGGCTTTGGGGACAGGGAGGGGCCAGCGCCATGGGGTCTGGCAGGAGGGAAGGTAGTGGGAGTGCAGCCCTGCCTCCTGGGTCAGGCAGCCAAGGGTGGGGGAGGAGCAGGAGTCAGGCCGAAGCACCCTGTCCCCAGTTCACCCCGTGCTCACCACCCTCTCAGCAGGAGGGATCGGGGTGCTGCCTACACTGTGGGGTCCAAGGGCACCCTCTAGGCGGCATTCCTACCCCAGATGCTGCCAGGACCCAGAAGAGGTGAGGCCTCGGGGTCAGGCGGGTTCTGGTTGGGGCAGGGACAGCACTGTCAGTCAGGGCACAGCGGGCCCAGGCAGCCTCGACGTTTTCAACCCAGGCAGCAGACCCACCAAAGGTGAGAACGGGAGCCCAAGGCTGCCCCCCACCTCCCTCTGTCAGGCTCCAGGTGGCACAGCCTGGGAGCAAAGTGTCCTAAGGGCCACACACGCAGGCTGCTTCGAGTGGCCTGCCCAGCCCGGTGCCAGGAAACCTGGGGGTGGAGAAAGCTCCAGCCCAGGGAGCTGGGGGTCCTCCTGGCTCCGGGGCCTCAAGCCAGCAGCACCCAGGAGGTACAGACACGTGGTGCTCGGGCAGGAACTCAACGTGGAGGCCCTGGGCGTGGCTTTGCCTTTGCGACCCCTGTAGCCTTGTCTTGGAGCCTCTGCTGGCCTCTCAAGTCAGTCCCGACCCCAAGCTCAGGCCTGCGTCTGGGGAGTGCCCAGGCACTGTCTTCCAGCTCTCCAGCACAGGCGCCTGAGGGTCTGAGGCCCTGCCCCACACATGGGAGTAGCAGGCAGCAGCAGGATGTCTGACCACAGAGCTTCCTGAGGCAGTAAGGGGGCCACCCTGGTGGCAGGGTGTGTGCCGGTGCAGGGGTCTGCCCTGCACCTCACCCGCAGCACCAAGCCACTGCCCTCTCCTGGCAGCTCCTACATCATGGGCCCTGGGGAGGTTGAGGGGACCCAGAACCCCCCTCCCACAGTACAGCCGGAGGGAAGAGGGCCTGTCTCCTGGCCCCTCAGAACAGCGGCCCCCAGAGTCCTGTGGGGCCCCACGTGGCACAGCCCCACCTCTCAGCAGCCCTTTCCCCCAGCCGAATGAGGGGAGTCCCTCTGGATAGCACTTTATTGACAACTTCGGACCCTTGGGCAGGATCAGCAGTTTCCAGAGCACGGGCATTCCCCCCACCACCCGCACTGGCCTGTGCCCAGGGGGCAGCAGTGCCCAGCCAGGCCCCTGTCCCAGCACACCTGCCCTTGGGGGCGCGGCTCAGGCTCAGGCCCCGGCTACTGGGGCCTCGTGGTTGAGCACGTAGTAGTCATGGACGTACATGAGCACGGCCACTGGCTGCCCGATGATGAGCGTCAGCCACACAGCTGCATTACCGTAGTTGCCCCAGAAGAAGCGGCTCACTATCCAGGCTAGCGGGATCTGGGGACACAGGGGCCCATCAGCAGCCACAGTGACCACAGGGTTGGCGCCCAGGTGTGGGGAAGAGGGCTGGCTGGGAGGCTGCATCGGGTGCTCACCTGAGCCATCATGCCCGTGAAGGCCCAGAGGCGGAACATGCGCAGAGGGATGCTCACCAGGTACTGGGGTGGGGGCGAGAGGGGCATCACCTGAGCCCTCAGCCACACCCACCCAAGGGCGGGACAGGATGCACCCGCAGAGCACTGACCTCGTGGAAGAAGGCTGAGGCCAGGAACACGCACGTCCTGGCCAGCCACTTGCTACTGCCCCGCCGGAGCATGGGCTTGTAGAAATGTCTGCAGGAGGAGAAGGTGGGATGGGCGCCAAGGCCACGGGCCGCCCGCCCGCCCAGTGCATGTGCCCATACCCACCTGAGGCACCACTTGTGAACAGGGATGTTCCAGTTCTCCCAGAAGTAGGTGACGGACTCAGAGTTCCTGGTGTGGAGACAGCAGCAGGTGATCAGACTGCATCAGGACTCTCCAACCCAGCCCCCAGCCCCCAGCCCCACACCCAAGGCCACCCACCACCAGTCCCGGTAGAACTCCCGGTCTCCAAACCGCATGAGCTCGGCCACAGCATTCAGGCAGGAGTGGAAGAGCCAGTAGAAGAAGATGAGCCAGATGAGGTGGTTGGGGACCTGAGGGGTCATTTGCCAAGTTCCAGAACACCCCTACCCGCCCCCACAGGCTCCCCGACCGCCAGGCTGCTCACCGCCAGCTTCAGGAGGCGCTCAACGATGCGTGAGTAGTCCATATCCTGTGGAGATGGGGCTCAGCGGGCTCCTTGGCCCCGCCTCGCAAACCCCCCTCCCCGAGAGCCTGGCCACTCACCTTAAAGGGTTTCATGGAGTTCTGGATGGTGGGGACCATCCACTGCAAAGGAGGGCAGAGTGTAACCGCGCTGGCCACCCTGGGACCCCCCCACCCCAACCCCGGTGCAGCACAGCCCCACTAAGTTTGCATACCTGCTGGATCAACCCCACTTGGAGCTGGGTAAGGAACAGCTGGAGAAGGAAGCAGAGGACAGCAGGCTCAATCCCCTGGTGCCCAGCAGCCCCCTGACCCCGCAAGGCCCCCAGCCTCCAGCCTCACCATCTCAAGGAGCCGCCGCAGCAGGAAGCGCTTTCGGATGCGAGGGGAGCGGGGAAAGTTGAGTTCGTAACACAAAGTAGGAGCAAAGAGGAAGTAGTACAGATCTGGAACAGGAGGGGCAGGGCTAGCATGGCAGAGGCCTAGCCCCTGCGTCCCCCCACCCACCCTCCAGGTCTAGCCCCCTGCGGGGTCCTCACCGCGGTAGGTCAGATTGTCTGGGTAGCTCACAGTGCCCTGGGCAGCTCCCCCGTTGGCCTTTTTTACTGGCAGAAGCTAGGAGCAAGCGGCGGAGTTGGGGCACGTGAGACTGGTGCCGCCCAGCTCCAGCCCCATGGCAGGTGGCAGCCCCAGGGGGCCCCAGCCCTAGGCAGCCCCTCACCGGCCTTGGCCTTGGCCCTAGCCCTGCGCTCTCGGCACCACAGGTTGACGTCCCGGTAGGAGAACAGCTTGAGGAAGAGGATGGTGTACACTATCAGAGCCAGCACGGAGCCCACTGCAGGAGAGGCAAGCTCAGGCCACGCCCTCCCACACTGCCCATAGGAGAGCCTCGGCCACGGGGCAGCCCCTGTGGCTAGCCTAGGTCTCTCCTACGGGCCCCACAGACAGGCTGGGACAGGGAGAGATGGGGGCCCACCTGGAGTGATGGACTCAAGCAGGAAGGCCACAGCCGCCGGGAAGCAGAGAATGGTGGCCAAGTTGACCACATGCAGCAGCAGCCCTGCCTGCTCCGTCAGGGCACCCTGGGGTGGGGGGGTGGGCAGAGCGCTCAGCCAGGGCCCCCACTCCCTGGACAAACGGTCTCCCTGGGAAAGGGCCACTGGGCCTGGTGCAACTCCTCCCAGGAAAGCCACGCACAGCCTGAAACCCGGAAACGTAGTGGGATGGGCTAGTGCCCCACCATAAGCCTGGTCCGATGAGGAGCAGACCTCTGGGCAGGGCAAAACATGAGAACACTGCTTACCACAGCCAGGCGCTTCTCCACCTGGAACGCAGCCACAGCAAAGATGTTGGCCACTGAGGACAGAAGCACCACAGGGCAAATTCAGGCCTGGGTCAGCCCTGACCCCTCCTGAGGCCCTCCTGGGCACCCAGCTCACCAATAACCAGGCACAGAGCAGGCCAGCTGTAGGGGTCCTTCAGGAACAGAGACACCACCTGGAGGGGGTCCACCAGGATGCCGTACCTGGGGGTGGGGGCGGATCAGGGGGATGAGGGGCTGAGCGTGTGAGGGCCGGGACCTGACTAGCAGTGGGTGCGGTGTGGCCAGGGCCCTGGGGAGACACTCACTTGATGAGGTTCTCTAAAAATAACCGAGCATTGCTCAAGATCTGCAAGAGAGAGAGAATGGAACAGCCCTGTCAGCCCTGGCCTAGGAACCCCCATCCAGCGGGTCAGGGCAGCAGCCTGCATCCTGCAGGCCCTGCCCGGTCTGACCTCCGGCCAAGCTCCCAGACTCCTGTGCACCAGTGCAGGGACCAGAGGTCCCTCAGCACTGCCCCCAGCGTGCCCACAAGAGGGAGCTAGCCCACCATCGGGCACCTCCCGGACACCTGTGTCTGCAGTGGCAGCAGAAAGGGACCCGCTGTCCAGCAGCGCTCCCCTGCTCTGCTGAGCTGGTGACGGCCCCAGCCAGGCCAGGTGAAGCTGCCCCCGCGCCCAAAGCCCCACCCTCCAGCCAGTCCTTGCAGTGCCCAGCTGTGTGGCGGGTGCTGTACCAGGGTGTCCACACCGTGTGGGGTGGCAGGAAGAAGATGGCCAGGGTCCTGAGGGGCCAGGGAATCTGCGCCTGCAGCATCACCTGTCCCCAGACCTCTGCCTCTCCTCAGGTGTTCTTGCAGCACCCACCCCAAACCCAGGCCTTGGCCCCAAAGCTCCCAAGGATGGAGCCCCATAAAAACAAGCTCCTGGCTCTAGCCTGGGGCTGGCTGCTTGGCCTCCCTCTGCAGTGACAGGGAACCCCTCTTCCACCCCACAAGGCAGAGGCCCTGTGCAGAGGTCACAGAAGGCTCTGTGCAAAAGGGATGCTTTTCCAGGGAACACTGGTGGGGTCCCTTACCTGGAAGGTTTCACGAGGAGGTGACAAGCTCAGAGAGGCACGGGCACCCTGCCATGCCCTCCCAGCTGAATGCCCGACCCACCAGCTTACCAAGACACGTGGTTTCACTCTGTCACCCCACCTGGTAGTGGCCTGTCCTGAGAGCCCACAGCTGACAAAAGCTGGAGCTGCTAATGGGCAGGACCCACCTGGAGGCCCCAGCAGCACAGGGAACACACAGGCAGCCCCGCGCTCTGGACACATGGCTCCTGCAGGGAAGGTGTGGCAGAGGCACCAGAAGCAGGGGAAAGGCTTTGGGGCTGTACCAGGTGGGCCCAAGGGGTTGCAGGAGAACAGCCCAGGCTGCTGGGGGCCCGCCCTGCACACTGCCTCTTTACAAACAGTCTAGGCCAGGAATGGCCCCCCAGAGGCCAAGGATACATCATTGCCTGGGGGCCGGCCAGCACCTGGCCCGCTCTCCCCTTGCCCAGATGTCTTTCACCCACCAGGCTGCACAGCGCCCTGGGAACCGCCCCAGGCCACAGACAGGGAGGAGATGGGGAGCCCCTCATACCTGCACAGCCAAGGGAGACACACCCAAGACAGATGCAGACACGTCAGTGTGCGGGTCGAAGGCCTCGGGCCACATCAGCCCTGAGTGCTGGGGGCCAGGCCCAGGCAGGCCCTTGCCCCCTGCCCCGCCCTGAAAGCTGCCTCTTTGAGTCCTGGACTCCAGCTGCTTCTGGGCCAGGGCTGCTGGCCCCAGAG